GTGTGAATTTACCCACCCCTTCCTCCTCCCTCCCACCTGGAACTTTTTTCTAAAATGAGATGACTTGGGTCCACAGTGGAAAAGAGAAGTGGTTAGTAGCATTTCCCACACCCTCTGTCTTCTCCTACCACAGATTTTCTTTAAGTATTAAAAAAAAAAATCTAATTATAATTACATGCTAAGGAGGCAGCATGTGCGAATGTAAAACACTAGGCTTCTGGAGTCAGAGACCCAAGCCCAAATCCCGGCTCCCTTATTTATTAGTTATTTCACCTTGGACATATTAAACTCTCTGGGCTTCAGTTTCCTTGTCCCGAAAAATGGAGATAATGATACTTTCATAATAATTAAGAGGATGATTACAATGATAAAAGTAGTTATAACAGTGCCAAATATCTAGGTACCATCCATTGTAATGTGTACTCATGGAGTCCTCAGAACAATCCTTTGTATAGTATTGGTCCACATTTGGCAGGTGAGGACACAGGTTCAGAGAGGGGATGTGATCTGCCCAAGGTCACATAGTAAGTCAGAGGTGGAATGAGAATCCACATGTGTCTGTCTCCAAAGCTTACCCAGTATGCTAATAGTGTGAAAGCACCTAGGACAGGGCTGGTACAGTAGCTGCTCAATGTTAGCGGGTTATTACAAAACATCATTTCCATAATCAACTACAAGCTCAAATCTGTGTCACTGACATGGCAGCACCAGAGAACGTGCTATTTCAAGCACATAATCTATGTAAACACTACAGCGCTTACCATTTCGACACATCGAAACTTGATTAATTTTGAACATGTTTAAAAATAGACATATATTTCTCTGACTTCTTCAATATACTTCTTCTAGATACTGAACATGACTTGCTCTTTGGCTGAGGGATGCAAGTTCATTATTAAGACCATGCGTTACAGTATTGTGTTGTGACATATAATGCCAGGACTGTGCAGCTTTTAGGCCTTTCTCTGTTAATGTCAGCCCATACTTTGCTCTCCATTTAGTTCCTCTGTCTATTTTCCCACCCTCTTTCTACATTGCTGTTTATAATCTGCTGGGGAGGGGGGACCACACATATACCATCAAAATCATTAAAATTCTCAGATAAATAAAAGTAAACGAGCTCTAAATGGGAAGCTAATAAACTCTTCTGTGCTGGTAAGGGACATGTGTTAGCGCCAGAGTTTTTCAACAGTGACTTTCTATGCGCTCTGAGGCCCCTTTCTTATTTTCTGGCTGTCTTCCAGAGGACTGAAGTTGCCAGATGTCAGATTTCCGCATAAGGGTGGTGTCCCAAGTATTTTTTTTTTTAAAACCAAACAGAATATTTTGCAAACCTCTTAACCATCTATATGTTATTAAAACAATGCCTCAAGGTTGGGACAAGGTAGATATTATTTTCCTTCTTATACTATATTTTCTCAAATTTCATCTCACTGTCAGACTAAATACATATTTCATTATCTAAAATATCAAGGGGAGAATTAGCATAAACCCCCCAGGATTACTTAAGAGCTACTCTGCTCCATTTAGGAGTAATCCTTGTGACCTGAAAGAGTTAAAGCTTCTCCCTGAGAACCTTTTCACTCTACCAGAAAATGACTCAGAAGCAGAGAAGAATCTGGCTCAATAAATACTTTTGCCGACCGACCTCCTCCTCGATTGGAATGAGTGCGTAATTCCCAAGAAACACACACCCTAGAAGGGTACTGAAGTCAGAGCCTTGCTAAATTACATGATTCATGTGCGAGACCAGAAAGTAGGTCTTGATGTCCTCTATTTTATGTATTATATGATGAATTTCATCTGTCTTCTCTGCCCTGTACACACTATGAAAAGCAACTACTATTATCCACGCCAGGGCCATTTTAGAGGCTTGAGCGTGTATTTTGAAACTTAATCATAAATTGCTTCTATAAACTGTTCCACCAACTCCAGATGGAAGTAAAAAGAACTTCAGAGGAAATCAGAACACAGATGGGCTTGAGAGAAAGCAGAGGAAATTGCTGCCTGTATGGCACGATTTCAGGGACATCAGAAAAGTCTGCTGTGAAAACACCACCTCCTTCCCTCGTTGCTGAATGCCTGCATTTCTACCTCTGGAGGGTCATTCTGCATTTGAAACATCAATATCCTCGGAAAGAAAATTCTTCAAACCCTTTTAGAACGTAAACTCTGTGAGGGAAGAGATCGTCTGTTTTGTTCTACAGATCGTCTATTTTGTGGTCTACAGCAGTGCCCAGCACATAAAAACATTTGCAAATTTTTGGTGAACAAATAATTTATTGAACTTTCAGAAAATATATGAAACTATTTATATCAAAATCTCGAGTTCCACTTATCTAAAATAACCATCTCTTCCCCACAAACAGTTTTACTTTTCCGCTTGCCTATCTATGTATGACACTGGTGTGTCACATAAGTCTTCCAAATTGAGCATTAAAACCTCAGACTTCTGCTTCATCCTCTACAGCTGACAGTACACTAATAACAGCAGCTCCCATGTGAGTAGCTACCAGGTACGAGGAGCTTGAATCATCACAATACTGCAGGGTAGACAGCCAGGCTCTAGTGTCAGGGTGCCTGGGTGCAAATCCCAGCACTGCCACTGAGTAATCTACTCAACCTTAACAGTTAACAAATAGCTAAGCCAGACCAGAATTCAGATTTGTTTGTTGTGTTGTGTTCTTTTTACTACAAACATTGCTTCTTTTAAATCTCATTGTTTCTTCCTTCCAAACGTTTAGATTTCCATTTTTCTGTTTCTCCAACATTGTATTATGAAATTTTTCAAACAGCGAAGTTGAAAGAATTGTATACCCACCACTTAGATTCTACCATTAACATCTTACTCCAGTTACTTTATCACATATCATCCATCACTTTCTTCCTTTATCAATTCATGTTATTTTTTGATGCATTTCAAAATAAACCACATTTCCCCCCAAACTTCAGCATGCATATCTTAACTAGAGTTCAAGATTTGCTCAGAATTTTTTTAAGTATCCTCTCCTCTTAGCCAATGTTAAAATTCTTTTCTCCCCACTAAAATGTCAGTTAATCTGATTAATCTTAATAAAATGTAGATTTTTACGTATTACTCAGTTGCTTAAAAATTTACAAGGTCGGCCAGGCACGGTGGCTCACACCTGTAATCCCAGCACTCTGGGAGACCAAGGTGGGAGGATCGCTTGAGCTCAGGAGTTCGAGACCAGCCTGAGCAACAGCGAGACCCATCTCTACTAAAAACAGAAAAATTAGCTGGGCATCATGACGTGCTGAGTGGTCAACTTATGGAGACAGAAAGTAGAATGGCAGCTGCCAGGGGCTGGGGGGGAAGAGGAGATGAGGAGTTAGTGTTTAATGGGTATAGCATTTCATTTTGGGAAAATGAAAAAGTTCTGGAGATGGATGGTGGTGATGGTTGCAAAGTAATGTGAACGCTAACACTACAGAACTATATACTTAAAAACAGTTAAAATGATAAACTTCATGTTATGTATATTTACCACAATAAAAATATTTTTTAAAAACGTATTTCATAAAATGTGAGAGAATGTGAACGAAGGCCTGGGAGACTTTGGAATTTTTTTTAT